GCGAGACGACAATGGGGGACTAAACTTGATCTGACAATGAAAGAGAAACAAAGTGTGTAACGCCGCAGTCACCTCTGACCCTGCGATTGAATGCAACTGTGGCCTGGGAAATGACGCTTCCAGCTTCCCCCTTTCCCTCTTCTTTTTCTTTTTCAACTTGATGGTGACTGCCCAACTTATCCCATAACCCGGCTGAAGGAGACTCGGTATGCGGCAGAAACAACCACACCGGTCCCTTTACCTTCGCGTCCTTGGGCAAGCCCGACGGCTACCACGGCCACAGGTCGGCCGTGCTCTGCTGTACAGCAGGGCGCTGAGCCTGCGTGGACCCATGGAAAGTCTAGTGGCGCACTCACCCTTTTGCCAGTGGGTGCATCGACTGGACCAGTCCTGCAGCAGAGCTTGGAATGCCGCGGAGTTTCCTAGGCGGGTATTCGGTACACAGCGGAGGTATGTGAGCAGACGCCTGGCAGACGCCTGGCACACAGCGGAGGGTCGGGACACCGCGCCCTCCAACACCGGACGTGCGTGCGGTACCCAGTAACTTCTGGGCCTCTTCCAGTATCTGCGCCTAGGGACCATTCCGGAATGTGCCCTGGGCCCGGTTGGTTGAGGGTCGAGGCTGCTGTTCCCCACATTTTCATTGGCCAGAAGGCCTTTGCCTGAAGAGGTGGCTTGATATCCCTATAGCTCTTATGAAACTTTCAAATGATGTATGAGGGATGCTGGCCATTCTTTGGGGGGCGCAGCGCGGCCGGGAGCGCTGCGCCCCACCCGCGCGGTTGGACCGAGCGGCACCAAGCGGTAACAAGCCGCGGAGCGGCGTCAAGCTGGACCGAGCGGCACCGGGCGATAACAAGCGGCGGAGCGGCGCGATGTTGGGGGAGAGGATCCGGGGTGGTGGTTGAGAGGATCCGGGTGTATGAATGATGAGGAGAAGGATCATGGTGATGAGGGTGATGCATCGTGTGTAGAGGCTGTGGTCGCTATGAAGGGGCTGCTAGTGAAGGGCTGCGAAGGGTCTGGTCTGCCAGCATCATCATTCTCTAAATTCCTAATTGAGCTGTGAATCACGGGATGCCACGTGTCGAACGAGAGGTGAGTGCAATGGATCAGAGGAGTGTGCGTTGGACAGGTAAGTGTTCTTAGGGTGGTATTACTCCATGAATCTTTTGTATCGGTTGATAGGTGTTGGGGATCTGCTTGGTGCCGCGATTTGCCTCGTCACAAGTTGACGGGGTTGAGATTGGGGAGGGGCTGTTGCTCCACAAGATTGGCAAATGGCTCCGATGAGGTCTCTCTATGCTACATATTAGATGCCTCGTGCGCCCCAGTTGATGTGCGACGACGCCAAGGGGTGCGAGGGCGATGGTTCCTGCGCGGAAGGAGTGACGTCACATGCAAGTGGAGGGGGAGTGGAGGAGAAGATTCATGGAGGTGCCTGTTCTTCGGTGCTTCTTTAGCGTGATTTGCTGGTTACTGTTGATCTTCATGACGGTTTACTCTACTGGTGTGTTGATTTCCTAATCACATGTTACAAATAATTTTGATTTTGATTATCCAATCATCTCGATTTAGGATTTTTGATTGTAGGATTCCTGAGAATAGTATTTCTTGTATGAATTAGATTCTCTCTGACTGATGTATTCCGGATTGATCGCAATAATTTTTTGTGTAATTCTTCTTAACGAGTATGTTCTTTGGTACATAGTTGCTTCCCTTAACGATGATCTTAACTACGATCAGGATTACTTTCTTGATTTTATATATTCGTGAGTCCAATATTGGACATCTTGGATAGATTTCTTAATCTTGTTTTTGAATTTTAATTTTCAAAAGATGTCTCAGATAGACTTCTTAATTTTGTTTCTAATTTTCAATTTTTAGAAGTATGCCTCCGAAGTAATTTTCTATTTGAAATACTCTACGTTTGCAAAACTCAACTTCCTAGTCTTGATTACTGTCGCTGTAAATTCTGATGTTGATTGTTTTTTTTTCGTTAATTGTGTTTCAAAGCGTGCCTGGGTCTTTGTACGGTATATTTGCGTCTTGCTTTGTGAACTGTGGGGTTCTCCTTTAGGGTTGGAGCCCCTCCGTGTGAGGGTTTCACAAGGTGGGAGGTGTTACCCTTGGAGGGGGGGGGGCGGTACTGAGGGATTGTCTTTTTCTGGGCCAGGCTGATTTAGGGTCGGATCAGCACTGGCGGTTGGGGAGAGAAGACAAGGGGGTGAAGGTGCTTACAACAGGGTGTGAGGATGAGAGGATTGCCTTGCCTGGAGGGGGTGAGGCAGAAGGATAGGGGGAACTTCAGCCTGTGAGGTATGCTCTAGGGGGAATTGTATGCCTTTCAGGGGGTTGAAGTGTCCGTGTATAGGCTGTTCCGAACTGGGGCCGAAAGGAGAGGGGGCGCCTCCCGGTGGGGGCAGTGTAGGAACAGGGGGGTTGCTTTTTGAGGGAAGGGAGTAACTTCGTTGGTCACACAGTGAGCTTCTTATGTGTTGCGGAATCTCAGGTGAATGCTAGAACCTGCATCTGAAGAGAGGTTCTTTTTCCCCTCCTGTCCTCTTTTTGGATGTAGGTGAAGTTTCTATATTTTTTTTCAGGTTGGTATCTGATGTTCCTGAGTTTTCGAAAATTTCTTAAAAACTCTTAAAAAGTTATTCGATAAGCAGGAAGGGGAAGGTTGGTTTTAGCAGGGCGGTGCTTGGGCAGAGGACGGATGAGTGTTCAGGGTGGTAGGTCTATTAGAAGGGCGGGGTGGAGTGACAATGGTCGGTGCTGGAGCAGTTGCTCTATAACCAGCGGAGCTTGAGACTATTGGAGCTATGCCGAGGGTGAAAGGCATAACCATCTTGTTCAACGTAGCTGATGCCGGGGCAGTGGCCCTGTAACTTTGGGGGCTGTGCAGCTAAGGAAGTTGTCGAGGGAGGAAGACACTTCCTGTCCTTCATAACTAGTTCGGTCGGTACTGGGGCAGTTGGTGTTGTCCTGTCACCCTAGCAAGGGGGGTATGAGATCTAGCGAGTTCTGGTACGAGGACTGAATGCCTGGGCAGTAGTCTTTCCTCTGTGGTGCGGGGAAGGAGTGGGATCGTGGGGGATTTCGTTTTCCTGTCTTCCTGTTTTTTAGGCTGATGTTCTTAGTTTAGGGGGGGCTTAAGAATGATTTGGAATTCTGAAAAAAAAAAATCCTGATAGGGTTGTTTCCAGTAGTTGTCTAAGGAGTTTCTTAGCCGAAGCCGGGTAATGGTCCCGGTATCTCACAGAGTGACTATGCAGAGATCTGCCTATGATCAGGGAGATTGTGGATAGAATGTGAAGGGGGGAAGGAGAAGGTGAAAACTGGAAGATGGGAGGAAGCAAGGGGGGTTCAACATGGGAAGGGACGTCTGTCTAAGTAAGTAGGTCAGAAGGACAAAGTTGGGACGACGCAGACCGGTGCTGGAGCTTTTGCTCTGTAACCTGGGGGAGAAAGCGGTCTGTGGAGTTATGTCGACGGAAGGCATAACCAGTTTGTCCGACGTAGCTGATGCCGGGGGTTTTTCACTGTAACTTAGGGGCATGTGTGGCTAATCGAGAGTGTCGAGGGAGGAAGGCACTCTTTGTCGTCTGAACCAGGCTGGTCGGTACTGGGGAAGTTTGTGTTGCTCTGTAACCCTAGCATAGGGGGGTATGAGATCAGCTGAGTTCTGGTACGAGGACTAAACGCTTGGACTCAACGTTTTTTCGCTTGTTGAAGGGGAGGTGTAAACAGTAGGAGGTTTTAGTTAGATCTTTTGTTTCCAGGTTTGGATTGTGATTGGGTAGATCATAGGCATTTTTTTTCTGAGAACTGCAGTTGTTTTTAAAAGTTGTTTCTCATAGGTTTTTGCAGGTTTGGTAATCGACTGATTGTTTTCCTAGCTGAAGCCGGGTAAGGGCCCCGAAACTTCAAATGTGTCACAGATTTCTCAGTTGTACTTCAAAGGGACGCTGAGCCCGGTTCTCAGCACGTGATGCTCCCCACGAATAGATTGGAACTTTTGTCCCCAAAAAAAAAAAAAAAAAAAAAAAAAGGTGTATGAGGGATGCTGGACCCAGTTTCCAGCAGTGTTGCTCCCCATTAATAGATGGAGCCTTCACTACAGGGTCACTTACCATGGCTGCTCTTATCACCCTGGCAAGTGTCCCTCCTGTGCCGAAGTCCTCCCCCCCCCAAAAAAAAAGAAAAGAAAAGAAGGGCCTGGTCACACGGCCGTAACTGTCTGGCGCCCACGGCCTGGGATTTTGTCACTTTGACTCAGAAAATGGCCACGGGCTCAATATTCATGGCCAGTGGGCTCTGGGGCCCTTTTTCTGCCACGGCCTAGACGTTTCATGCCTTGCACTGCTGTGACTCTGCTGGTTTAAATAGTGTGTAGCTTGTCTTGTCTATTCTGTTCCAACTCCCTTCCCATTCCCTTGTCTATTCTGTTAAATCTCCCTTCCCATTCCCTAGAAAGCCTTTTTTCACCCTGACTTGCAAGGGATTTCACTTGCTTCTGCAAGTGCAGCTCTTTTCTGATACATTAAATATTCCATAACTTCTATTGTCCATATTTCACTTCTTAACCAGGCTACCAGAGTGCCCGGGACCACTTGCCCAGCCGGGTCAAAAATAAATAAAATAATAAAAATTAATTTTTTTTTATTTTAATTTTGGTAAAGAATTTCAATGTGACCCTGAGGCAAAAGTTGTTCAGTTAATTTTTCTACATAACACAGTTTTTTTTCGGCTTTTTTTTTTTTTTTTTTTTTTTTTTTTTGCCTGGGACCTTCCCTGGTCCTTGCATGGGCTTGCCACTCGGGACCCGGGCGGCCCGGCTGTTAGCCTAGTTTTTAAGTCTTTACCGCCAGTGTAGCTCTTTTGTGATACTTCGAATATTGCATAACTTGTGTTTCCATGAGATGGATGTTACTGACCGCGAGAATTGACTCTGCGGATTCACTGTTGTTGTGTTGCTGTGGGTATGGTCTCATCAGGGGAGACAAAAACTGCCTTGAAGCATCGCCTTACACTGTGGGTCAGAGACAACCCGAAGAATGTGATAATTTTACTTCTACACTTACTGATGGTATGTGTGGAAAACTCCCTGCATGATGGCGATTGACCGTAACTTGCATATTCCAGCTTTTCACTCGTGGCAGGAACACTTCTAATGGTGAACCTTGTCAACCTGCTTCAATCCCCGATCGATATGCATGTCAACAACAAAACTCTATAGCTCAGTGGGCCGCAGGCGTAATGCCACTGGCATTGGTTTTCCTGTGGTTCTGGCCATTGGATATGATATCGACGGATGGAATTGTATGAACCGTGAATTTTAACGGTTTTGCGTGGTCTAGATTTGCGACATGTTAGCGTTTTTAAGTTCTGTGCTTGTGACACGTAGATGGTCTCTTTGCTCTTCTTTCTGCTTTCCTTGCGTTCACCTTAACTCTCAGCAAATGTTAGCGCTGGCGTCGTAGATTTCCTCACTATTTCTCACTATCTACGGGCTGTCCTTCATTTGCGGCGATGCTGTGTCAGGATGTCCTTGGAGAAAATAACGTGCCCACCTCTGAAACCACTCTGATGCCCCACACAAAAATAACGTGCTGAAAAAGTGGCGCCCCCAAAAAGAAAGAACGGCTGATGTTCCATGGAAGGCAAACGAATATGAAAAGTTGAGTCGAGCGGCGAGCTCAGTTGGTACACCCACGACCTTTTGGAATACAGACGCAAGTTTGAGTCCAGATCCAGGCGAGCGGAATACCTGGGCCTGGTCAGGTCAATGATATATCTCAAGGACGTTGCCCTTCTAGAAGAATAAGGGCCTCACCCTGCCACTCTCCAAATGTGCAAAATGAGATTGAATTTTCCACTAGAACATGGACGCATACACCCGCCATTTTTGTCGTTTTCACATTTGGAGAGTGGTGCAATGAGGGGGAAAGAAAGGGGAGACAAAGCGCGCGAAGAAATAAACTAGCACCGACGTGGGGCCGGTCAGTCCGAAAAGGCCGTTGTGCTTTCCCAAAACGAAAACACTCGACGGCAGGCACTGGTGGCAGCGAGAATGCACTCACGCAGCCACACACGCAGCCACACGCTGCCCTGCACCCACACAAACTCAACAATGGAGACTCGTGTGCACACACACACAGAGACAGAGAGACAGAGAGACACAGAGAGAGAGAGAGAGAGAGAGAGAGAGAGAGAGAGAGAGAGAGAGAGAGANAGAGAGAGAGAGAGAGAGAGAGAGAGAGAGAGAGAGAGAGAGAGAGAGAGAGAGAGAGAGAGAGAGAGAGAGAGAGAGAGAGTGGCGAACTGCGGCAAAACAGCCCGAGTGGCCAAAGCAGAGTCACACACAGCATCAAACACACGCAGAGCGATCGTTCAAAAACAGATGTAAACTTTCCATGAAACCATGAAAGAGCAGCATGTGGGTCCCTCGACCGGTTTGGGCTGTCCACTGGGCATCCTAAGGAGGGTGACTCTGTGAGAGTCTTCGTGCTCGAGAAAGGGAGGCTCTAGCCTTGCCTCCCAACCTATATCCTTTTCCCATCCCAACAGCCACTTCCCAAATCACCACCAAGAAGTCACATTCGGCAACCCAAGAACGAAAATTAGCAAGTACATCTGCCGCCGGTCGAGACGCTTCCCCAAATCCATTCCTCCTCCTACGACCTTTAGACCCCCCGCTGCATCATCCTGCGTTTTGCTCCAGATAGATACCAGCTATTTGTTACCGTGCTACGTCCCTTAACGCCGAAACGACTCCCCTGCGACTCCAGGAGTCAACTCGGTCTTTCCTATTGTCTATTCCCCGATCCTACTGCTAACACCTAGTCCGAATTCGCTTTTCCCATTGCATGCTAATATTGTTCGATCTCCGGTCTCCCCACTCAGCTCTCAAAGTTTCAGGAGCGCCGCCCTGAGACCGAAAGGTCTAAATAAATAAATAAATAAATAAATAAACTCCGTACGTAGAAGTTGGTAGAACCATAGCTACGATCCGGACACCCGGACAGGGATCCGGACTGACCGGGGTCCGGCGTCCGGTCCAGGTTTCTGGATCCCGGTCCGGATGGTCGGAAAATGGGGGGTAGCCATTTTTTTTTTTGGGCGGCCCAAGTCGTTTTCTTCCATTCTGGGCCGCCATGGAAAAATACAGGGCAATTTTTTTTTATTTTTTTTTTTTGAAAGCTTAAAATTTTATTGCAAAAAACATTGGGATGAGGCCGGGGACCTCACAATTCAACCCGGAGTTATCCTGGCAGCAGCCTCAGCCAGTTTCGCTTACGAGCCAAGCTTGAAACCGAACTAACTCTTCAGAATTTATCAATCTATCTGGTGGAAACCGGGTCCAGCGTCCCATCCTTAAATGCTTTACAAAAAGTAAAGCTTTCAAGCACAGAGTAAAAAGTGACCTATCAAAGAGACAAATTTGAAGCTCAGTGAAATTGGCCGCATTTTAACAGATATGCCTTTTCTGCTCTTTCGGCCCATGAATTTCTCAAAGTTTGACTCATTTGAGAACTTGAGAGTGTCCAAATATCCCTAGTTCCAGTGATTAACCATTAGAGCTCTGAAACCCCATAGTGGTGAGGGGGGTGGTCTCTTACCATTCTTGCTGGTGAGGCCCCGCCTTCCTCAACTTACTGAATTCGAAAGAGCAGAGGCTGTCGCACAGGCCTAAAAATGGTCTGCTAGCGTCCCTTTCTGAATCTGAAACTTTCAGGGTGGCTTGAGCCAGCGAGAAATCACCAACTTCTTTTCCTGTGTAACAGCCGCCAGTTGCTTGCCTATGGCCCATGTCCTCGGAAACCACTGGTAGCCCTTTTTCCTGCTTCTGGCACTTGGCTGCGAGTCCACCATTATCATGTTTCGTATTCCCAGCCCAACTTGCCTTTGTTGCTCCTGGACTGAGACTTTCTCCTTTCTGAAGACCACAGAGTTTCTTGCCTTCCAAATCACTTGTAGCAGAACCCCTCTGCAGACCATAGGCACGTATCCCCAGCCTTCTCTTTGTGACACTCCCTGTGTTTGCAGAAGTCCATAGAGTGTCCAATCATCTGTCCACGGCCAGGAACCACCTGTGATCAAGTCCCAATGCTTGAGCCACCAAATCCACAGTTCGTCTGCTAACGGGCAGCATAGCCAAAGGTGTGCATTGGATTCCCAGCCCCAATCACACCTCAGGCAAGTGATAGAAAGGTCCATTCCTTTCTGAGCCAGCCAAAGTGTTGTAGCCACCACCATCAAGGATTGCATCCACAGCAGGCTGGTGTCTTTCTGTGATGGTAGGAGGATCAATGCCTTCCAAAAGGCTGACCAATCGTGTCGCGTTTCACAGGCCACATCAATGCCTTCCAAAAGGCTGACCAATCGAGTTTTTATTTTTTTGGGGGGGGATACAGAGAAGATTAGCATGGCCCCTGTGCAAGATGTAAAAAGGAAAAAAAGCCCGACGGCATATTCAGCCGTTTGTGGTACAACCATGAACTGTCTCTATGCACACCTGATCGAGCACCCCCAACCCCCCCCGCCCCCCCCCGGTAGCCTGCGGGTCCGGCATCCGGTTTCCGGATCTGGTCCGGCGTCCAGATGTAGCCGGATATCCGAACGTCCGGATGTAGCTGGCGGGTCTGGCATCCGGTGCCCGGATCTGGTCCGGTGTCCAGTCCGGCGTAGCTATGGGTAGAACTCAATAAAAAAAAATTAAAAAAAAACAGGTCCTTATGCCCCTGGCTCCATTTCCATTCTGGGAAGCATCAGTCCGGTTCCTATTCCACCGGCAAGTCAGAATAAAATGTTACATCAAGACACACACTCATGCTTCCTTCCGTCTGGCTGAAGGACCCCTGATCAGCATTGATTACTCTATCATTGTGAAGGATTGACTGTCAGCTTGCCTTACTTCCACCTTTCCTCTCAGGTCCACATCATGAGTCTGAGCAAGGAAGGTACAAGAAACTGCGTAGGATGCCATCTCGGAAATTGCCCTTCAATATTATGTGGCCAGTGACGGATCTTGTCCATCTACTGGCTGGGATCTCTGCCTTCTCCACCCTGGTTCTGAGTTGTGCCAGTCTTTCCACCGTATGCAAAGGTCATTTATCTCTGCGACTTTGCCCCCTACGAGCCACACCTTAGTGAATTTTGCCTTGATTCTTCTCTGTTGCTCTTCGTCATCTGGCATGGAGTGTCTCGTCTTTTGCCACTTGCAGAGAATCTCAGCCTGCATCAAGGTCCTTGTCTCCGCCCATACCTTCTCCCTTGGAGTTGAGAGTCCCTCAATGGTTCTGTAGCACCTTTCCTTCCATATGGACCACACCGTTACCTTTCTGATCGTTCCGAACCATGTTCTCTCTGTCTTGTGGAACTGAGTTGGGATGTTAGTCCATAGGAGGAGTTGGGTGGGGTGCTCAGGAAGGGGGATCGAGAAGAGGGAATCCCAGAGATCCAAGGCCCTTGCCCAGTATTCCGTCGCCTCTCTACAGCGTATCAGGCAATGTAGCATATCTTCTGGTTCATTTTCTGAACATGCCACACACAAATCTGAACTGTTGGAGTCATTCTTACTTCTTCTGATATGCAGCCACTGATTAACCGGTAGAGCCACGTAAGGCTTCTGATTTTGACTGGACGGATTGATTTGAATTTTTTCCATGGTACTTGTGGGATCAGACTAGCATCCTGGCCTAATATCTTCTGCCATCTATTCTTGATCGCTGGGTCACGATCCGTTGTTTCGAGGAGTAAGTTGTATCCCAGTTTGACTGTGTATTCCTGGATGGGGACATTCGTTTTGAGACTTCTGCTTCTATCTGGTGTCCAAGCCCACTCTGCTGGATCAAATTCCAGATCTTGAATCGCCGTATCTATTCTGAATATGTTTTTGGCCGCGATCCCAACGCTCTTACTTTTCTGAAAACAAAAGGGTTTAGGACTGTTCTTTCCACCTCCTCATTCAGGATAGATGGGAGGCCTTGCGTGGAGGGAGTAATTGGAAAAGAGGTAAACACAGCCAGGGTATCCGACACCTCCACTCCCCATTCACCCGATTTCCAAGTTGAGGTTTCGCTCAAC